ATTCCTTTTCAATATACATATTTAATTTTAACATATATCTTCCTCCTCCTTTTAAAAAAAAATAGAACAAAAAAGTATACATATATAGTCATTGTGCTTTTAAAAGCCTAATTTTGGACCGAGATTTGGACCTGGTTACAATTCCCAGCTATTCTCTTTTATCTTTATCTTTATATAGTTATACATCCTTACACACTACTTCTTAATAATCTGCTAATCATGCTCTCTCAACAAGTTACCTCATGCAAACATAAACTCCATATTGATCTCAATGCCGTTCTGCTTTCAGAATGTTCCTCTTCAACAAACTCAATTTTCTTCCTCTTTAAGTTTTTCCTTCAGCCTGTAAAAATCTTCCTACTTTGCTACTCTTGGCTCTCTTACACATTTAGCTCCACAGCGAGTTGCATCCTGGGTTCACACAAGATGCCTTCCTAAGCAGGTTTGGCCTCTTAAACCCCTAGGTCTTTGCAGAAACGTTATGTTCATTTCCTTCTTGTGCTTCTCTTATAACCTCTCAGAAAGTTAGGGCCACCATAAATTTACCTCAGTCCAGGGATATCCAATAGATTGGTCATTCCTGTCCAATTAATGTCCAAAGTCTGGAAAAAATGTGCAATGTAAAAATTACTAATAGATCTACTGTAGAGGGTTGATAGAGATGAAATAATCAAGATTGAAGGTATTGCAAAGACCTCTTCATAATGCTGTGTATTGTGACAGATTCTCTAACGATAGAATTTAATAAAATACACATAACTTTCAAGTATTTGTTTTATCAGGAAGCTCTACTACATATAAACCCAAAACTTCAACAAATTGCTTCATTGATGCACAAGCATTGCTTGATCCCACAACATTTGAATCAATGGCATTTGAATGGGTACAATCAAGAGTCCATGAAAAAGCATCAGATTATTTTTAACACTCAAAATACACTGGCCTTTGTTAAGCTTATTTTTGTAGGGTACTGACAAACAGAGGAATCAGTAAGAGATAACTATCGGTAAAATGAGTAATTGACCAAGGTAGGAAGATAGCGGAGGCATGAAATCGGCATTATCAGTGAGACACATGAAGATATCAACCACATTCTGGCACACCCTTTTTATAGTGTTTTTAAAAATCCTTTTTGTTTATTTTGCTTCTTAAATAACTTTTTGAAACTTTTTATAACTGTCGTGCGTGTATGTAGCTATATACTATTAAAGCTTTCATTCCTGTAACCTTTAACTCAGGTAAAACAGTGCATCGTAGGGCAACAATTTTTGAACCAAGGTATGTCAAATGGGGTGAGCGTGTCCAAAATCTGGGACCCATGATTCCCAAGGATCTGAAATTTAGCAAATTTTATAAAACAGTTTATAACATAAGCATTGTCATAAAGCAGTTTATGATCAAATATCATAAAACATTTCCTGTATTGAGTTTGACTTAGCTATACAGTTCAACTTGGGCTAAATGGTTTTTGACATAATACCCAATGTCACAAAACATTTCCTGTGCTGATGTTTGACTGTGCTTTACAGTTCAACGGGTATTGTTTTCAAGGTAGATGCATCTCTGAGGGTATCCCAACTTTTCCAGTGAAGGCAGCGCTTTTGAAATTCTATCATCGTTCACGGCATTAAGGGAATTTGGTAAGGGAATATCTCTTAAGGAATGCCCAACAGGTCATGAGTTTTTCAACACGAAATAGTATTTCAGAAATTACTTCTACATATAGAGAAGGCCTGAGTAAATGGTTAGGTTTTGGAAATACAATAACACAATGCTTTATTTCAGGGATGTCAAACTTAATTTCATTGAGGGCCGCATCAGGGTTGCGTTTGACCTCGAGAGGACCAGGGAGGGGGCGTGGCCAGGGGGCACGGCCAGCTTGAATCATTTGTGTTGTGGGTGCCTGTGGTGGCCCAAGCACTCTGCCAGAGAAAACGGGTTCCCAAACTCTGTTTTCATATGTGACAGCCTCCTACAACCCTCTGCTGGCGAAAATGGAACTCAGGAAGGCTGCGGGTGGTCCTTTTCTGTTTCCAAGGCAGCCCCATGGGCCACATCTAAACACCTCGCAGGCCAGACTCAGCCAGCGGGCCTTGAGTTTAACACAATTTGGGAAGGGGGGGGGGGGTAGAAGTTCACCTACATTAAAGTAGCTGAGGTGTAGAAATATTGCTTTATTTTATTATATGCTTCTCCAGAGTCTAACACTCTTCACTTGAGAAAAGATGTTCTGTGTTAATTCACTTAGACTTTGAGATTCAACATTTTCAGATGTCGATATTCTTTTGAAGCTTATTCCTATCACAGGGTGTTAACATCGGGACAAAGAACGTAGATTTTCTATACTTTACTTACAACTGAACAATGTATTGTTCAGCATTGCAAAGACAAACAGATGGCTCCAACTATATAGTGGACTCCAAAATTGATGTTACCAACAACTGATGAATCAATAACATATCAATCTATATTAGTAATGTATGAATATATGCCCCGCCTGTTTTTGTTTCTTTTTAGAGCTCTCTTTTTAAAATAATTTTGTCTTTTCTTTTTCTTTGTTCTTTGTATTTAGCATGTGCCTTTTGGAACATCATCCCATGGAGGTTAGATTGACTCCAACACTACTGCCTTTGTGGAAGGTATCTGAAGATATGGATTTATCATTGTGTTTGGGATCTAGCAATGTGCTGAATGTGCAAGATACTTGTACAGATTGTGATGTACGGATTGTAAGTTGTTTGATGGTTTTAATTTGTTTTAATAATTTTATATCTTTTGTTGTTTTATCTGTATTTTGTTTATTGTTTTTGTGTCTGCTTGAGGTGCCCAATATCACAAATTTGGGATGGGCATGAAACAATAACAACCACAATTGACTGGCAGTTTGGGAAAATCCCAAGAATATGCCAGAATACTTACTGGCCGACGAATGAAAAACAGGGTAAGAGCTCCGACGATTGGGACGTCTCCGATGAGGGGTTCCAGAATGACTCTCAACATGCCATGTAACTATAGGGGAAATGAGAAGCATGAGATTCCCAATTTCTGAGCTCTGAAGCAAGCATAGGATGATAGTCCTTCCATATCAATAAAGACTCAGTTTACTTTGACAAACAGGAGGGGGAACAATGTCACAGGGTAGGTCAACATTTGAGCCTCCTTTCAACAATGGTAGGAAACTGAAGCTAATGCAGTGGTGGGTTTCAATTTATTTTATTACCAGCTCGCTCATGCACACTCATGCTCTTGTGTGACACTTCTGTGCATGTGCAGAAGCTTCTGTGTATACACAGAAGCTTCTGTGCATGCGCAGAAGTGTCCGGGCGGAGCCTCCCGCTACCGCCACTACTGGTTTGCCTGATCCAGGGCGAACCGGCAGAAACCCACCTCTGAGCTAATGGTATCGATGAAATATCACCAGCCTTTTGCCTTCCAGGACTCAAAACTATTTGGCTTAACTTTTACCCTCATTCTCTAAATCACTGTTTCTCAACCTCAGATGGGTGGACTTCAACTCTCAGAATTGGCTGAGAAATTTGGGAAGGGGGGGGTAGAAGTTCACCTACATTAAAGTAGCTGAGGTGTAGAAATATTGCTCTAAAGAGTTCCAATGCAGCTGAAGAATCCCTTCTTGAATGCCCAGAATTGGTTGGCTACCTTTCAAAGATTGTTGAAAAGACACCAGATGGGCAGAGATTTTTTTTTTTTAAGAAATCTAACAGGAAGAAAGGCAAGATGGGATTGCTGGGAATAACACAGTGTGTTGCCAAAGTAAAGATCTCCTGCATCATTCTGCAAATGGCAGAATTCTGAGAGGAAACTATTTTCAGAAATATAAATGCCATCATCACAGAGAACTAATTCAGAGATATCTACTGCCCAAGGTCAGCCTGGGCCAGAATTATTGATGTTTTATAAAGTTGCTAGAGAACATCAAGTTTGGAGAAGGAATGTGATTTATTTAATCTTAAAAACCTGCAATAAGATATAGTTTGCAGATTTGCTTTTCTCGATCTGGTGCTCAGAGGTGTAGACTTTCCTAATTCCCTGGGGAAAAGGCTAATTTTGACCAGGATTTAGATCTCAGTCCTAGTCTACTTTACCTGCATGCCTTTCACTCCAGCCTTGCAGAAAAATTTCTTCACTTCCACGTCAATCTGGACATCACCCACGTAGCTGTCACAGAAGGAAAAGATTGAGAAAAACAGTAATATGGGGACCGAAGGAGCAAGACTGCACCAGAAGAGACCAACAAAAGGTCAAGAGCAGTGATTCTCAAAGTGTGGTCTAAGAATGTCTGCAAGGATCCTTTCAGAGGGCTTCAGAAGTCAACTGAATAGTTTAAAATTCTCTGTTTTGATTTTTAAAATTGATGGATATAATAACCAAAGCTCTTTGAGTTCCTCAATAATTCTTAGAATGTAAATGATTGTTGGAGCCAAAACGTTTGAGAATCACTGGTCTAGAGAACGGTATCTCCTTCAACTCTGTCCGTCTGAGCAGCTTTTTTCAGAGGCTGCTGCTACCAGTGCTTTCTATTTTTATTTCCCCCTACACCTGCCACCTGAACATGGTTCACATACTATACTATACATATTGTTGAATAACCATTGTTGAATAGCCAGCTACGATGGTACCTTGTAGTTGTAGCCATTGTAATATACCAGCAGTCACCCGATTGTGATTTTGGTGCTTGGCAACTAGCCTGCAAATGTGTCCTCTGGTCACATGATCGCAATTTGCAACCTTCGCTGCCTGGTCCCCACAAGCAAAATCTCCTGGAAAGCCAGCAGGAGGTCACAAATGGTAATCACATGACTGAGGGACAATGTGACTGCTACAACTGTTGTTATAAATTGGCACAGTCATCTGATGTAGCGCTTTTGGGCAATGGAATGGCAGGTCCCAATTACTCATGCAGCTAATGCTAGGACTACCTGTACAGATACTTACTTTAGCAAAAGGGAATGCAATTACTGCACAGAGAAATAGTACTATCTATTCATAATAGTAATAGTAGTAATTATTGTTATTATTATTATTATTATACAATTATATTGCAGCGGCCAGTTGTTTCGCCGGATTTGGCATTGGTTACTAGTCGGGACCCACCCAGGGGCCTAGGACGTTGTAACATATTTTCGTAATATGCGTGCAGATCCAAGCAGTGTGGCTTTTTGCATTTGACTGATGGTGATTTTGTCAATTTTTAACTGTTTTAAATGTAATTCCAGTGCTTTTGGAATAGCACCCAGTGTGCCAATTACCACTGGAATTACCACTGCTGGTTTGTGCCATAGTCGTTGAATTTTGATTTTCCTGGTATTTTGCGATTTTTTCACATTCCTTCTCATTGACCCTGCTATCACCTGGTATTGCAATGTCTATGATTGTGACCTTGTTTTT